TATATATATATATATGTGTGTGTGTGTGTGTGTGATTTCTGCCTAGTGCTCTGAATGTCATCTAGTCATACATATCAAGAATTTTCGATGGGCTTCTTTAGAAGATAAGATACGAAGAAAATCCTAATGCATGATGACGATATCACAAAGATGCTAAGGCTAGATGCCACGAAATGTGCATGTACCGTCGGTCACGCGGAATGCAAGAGAAAATCCGCCGTTAAATTAAGCGAACATTTACGAATCTTGATACCCACAAGTAATTTCTTACAATCTTCTTATGATCCTGATTATCTCATAATTTATATTTTTGTACGTGTACTTTATGCTTTGATAGAAGGAACGTGAAAAAGAGCAGGAAAAGGAAAGAGCACTAGCGGCGAAGCAGACAGAAAAGAACAAACAGAAGAGACAGATTCAAGCTTTGTCTTTTATTCTGGACGAAGACGAAGATGAAGCTGAGATGTCTTCTGACGAAGACAATGCCAAAAAATCCCCGCAGTCAGAAAATGTGCAATCTGATGGCCCTGCGATTAAGAAGATTTAGAAAAAATCCAGATGTAGATACATGTTTTTTGCCAGTAGGGAAAGAGACGAGGAGGAAAATAAACTTAGGGAAGAATTAAGACAAGAATGGGCTAGAAAGCAGAACGCGTCAAAGGAAGAAGAAATTGAGATCACATTCAATTATTGGGATGGATCTGGACCATCGTCGGAATGTTATAATGAAGAAAGGTGAATGTCTCAGTGGTTTAGAGAACGTTTAAGTTATTAAAATACTCCAGTGTCACTTTTGGAGTAACATTGGCATGATATATAATGTTCTGCTGCATAAATTAAATTTTCACATACAGGTAATTCTATCTATTAGGTTCTTCAGAGATGTTGAGAAGTTCTGAGGCCCGAATTCAGCGAGATTAAAACAGTAATGGCAGATCAGTTAATGTATGTCAAGGAGAATCTTATATTACCGCACCATTATACGTTTTACTGCAACTGTAACTGATTTTATTGTAACTAAGGTAAATATACTAAATAATAAAACTTATGAAGCAATATCACAATGTTGGCATGTTATTTTAATGTATGTAATATTGCGATTAGGTACGAGGAAAGAGCGGGCCTCTGTTCACATTTGACGTTCACGATGATATTCGTATTATGCACGATGCTTCTGTCGAAACCGAGGAATCACATGTCGGAAAAGTTTTACTTAAATATTTATTATTTTTCTCATTAGATCATGGTACGAGAGGAACAAACACATTTTTCCAGCAAGTAGATGGGAACCTTTTGATCCAACGAAAAGTTACGACAAGTATACAGTGTCGAATCAAAATAGGAAGAAAGCTAAAATCTGATCTTAGATTCAACGAATTGTCCAATTTTGTTTAAAGGATTCAGATTCAAGGACTGTAAATATTATAACCAGATAAATAACTTTGTTTCATCGTACAATTGATTCATTATAAAACAGCTGATTATATATATATATATATATATATATATATATTTTACAATATATATATATATATTATAATCTATTTTACAATGAATATATATATATATATATATATATATATATATATATATATTGTAGCT